CAGGAATGCTGTATTTTAAAAAAGAAGATATAATTCCTAGTCTTTTTGCAAGAAATAGCAAGTTGCGGACTGAGAACACAGATGTTTAAAAAAAAACCCAAACAAACATAAAAATGAGCACTGAAGAGAAATGGCAGAAATATGTACTTGTTTTACTGGTAAGCTGCATGACTCTTCTGCTCACTAGCAGTGCTTTGGCTAAAAGGGTCTGGAGCAAGTCTACAATGTGTCCTAATTTTTAATTTATACAGAATTTTATTTGATGCCTTTCTCTGCATATATAACTTAGGCCACAAAAATATTAGGGAGTTCTATTCCGGTTTAAAATATGGCTGTGTGGGGAGCAGATTTCAATAATTAAGCAAAACAAATGAAACAATAAGAAGAAAAAGAAAATCTAGCCCTGTGCTCAATGTAGAAGGGTTTTGAATGGCCTGAAGCTGTGTAAAAGCAAACTGCCATTTGGCATTTTCTTAGGAAAAAAAAAAAGGAAATAAAACACAGCAGCTAAGAAACATCCTCACAGCCATCACCAGGTTGAATGTCTTTCCTAGTAATTCTCATTAAGTTCTTTCTAAATCGCAGTGTTGTAGATGTTCTCTTTCCGTGGTTATACCTGGTTTAAAAAAAAAAAAAAACCCAAGAAAAATATTACCTTCCATTAGTCTGGGCCACGCGATCCATGTTTCACGTAGTTGCCAATAGGAATTCTGCGATGCGGGCAGGGAGGCTGCTCTCCGTGTGGGCGACCGACCTTCCCCCCCGGGCCTGGAGAGGTTTACCGAGGTGGTGGTGTCAACTTTTCGTTTTTCCTTCTCCCCGTCCCTGCAACAATCTCCTTCAATCCTTGTCGCCGAGGCGGGAGGCTGGCGGTGGCGTGCTGCGAGGGGCCGGGGGGCGCAGGGCATGAAATAGTCGCTGCCCCGCTCAGAGTTGGCAACTACGAGTTTTATTTCCACGTCATTCTGTTTACTTGGAATTTGCACTACACGCGTTGTGAGTGTACGCTTTATTTATTTGGAGTTTGGAAATCCCATGCCTGAAAGAGAAAGCGAGGAAACCTGTTTTTACCTGGTGTTGCTCACTAACTTGGGAAGGGCTGTGACGGTTGCAGGGCGCTGAGATCATCTTCATACACGGTGATGCAATATTTCACTCCCATTCCATCAGGAGCCTCTATCCTCTAGCAATAAATAACCGTGCAGATACGTTTCTAATGTCCAGTACAGCTACTTGTACTGCTTTCTGAATACTTGAAGAAAATGGTATTATAAATAGGCCTATTAGCTATATCTTTTTACAATCTTGCAGTTTGTGGCAACTAAAGGAGCACACAGAGGCAATGAACGGTGGGATGGTGATAAGACTTCGAGTGTATGAATGTCTTGGTTTAAAAAGTGGGGTTTTTGACATCGAAGAAGGTACAAAAGCACTGACCGGATGATTAAGCATAATTTAATCTCCACTGTGATAAAACTTAAGCAATAAACATGGATTTAATAGAGAAATTCTGTTGTCAGAAGTATGTTTTCTGTTGAGATGAATGTTATTTTCACGTATGCTGTGTGAGTGCGCGTAGCTGTGGATGCTCATTAGGATACACAAATTGTTTCTTCTTAGTTATACCATGATGCCTGATAGGAAATTACTCTGTTTTCTGGATCTGTTTTCTCTAGGAGCATTGAACCAACTGATGGACAGAATGCTTAACCACATTTCTTGAAGGTAGTTGAAATTTTTTCAAGCTTAGGCTAATATTTCCATTTAACTGTGTGTGTTTCTGTACTTAAGTTACTCCCATTGCTTTGAAAGCAAAGCTAAAAGGTTTTTTTTCCACACTGCGATTGGATGAGACGAATGATTTCTGGACACTTTGTACGTACAAACACGCTGCAGTTGAGCTGCGAGAAGAGAAGGTTTCTGCATTGGTCATTTTATTACCAAACCTCGGGATGGGCCTGATCCACCTTACCTGTGGAAATACCTGTTGTGTTCCAAGTTATGTTTCCCAAGTTGAAATAAAATCTGATACTGCAGTAGTTGCCCCCCGCCGCAGCAAAAGAGGAGCCTGTCTTGGATGAAGTAGAGGGCTAACAGTGGGGGGGAACAACATTTTGGATAAGATGAGAGTAAAACTGGTCCCAAATCCATCGTTTTTGCCCAGGGTGGTTGTGGGCTTTGCAAGTCTCCCAAATACCTGTGTATATTAAAAAAAAAAATCCTGTAATTGGAGCACCTAAGAAAATATTCTGTAGGCAAAACCAGCAAACAAGAAGTAGCTGTAGTTAGGTGTACAGAAGGCACATGCTGCTTGCATAAAGATTTCCGGAGAAGCCTGAGACACCTGAGCATGTGCCATAGGTTTTGGTATTTCTGATTTCCTTCCAATAGCTCAAGGATTCAAGGAGAAAGCAGCCATAAAACCAGGACAGTATATCCTAATGACCTGCAGAAATAGGTTTCTGGAGATGGTTATCAAGTATTCAAAGTTTAAGAAAATGATGTGCCAATAGTTTTATTTCTTTACCTCCCAGATCGTTTGTCAAGTCAAGTTTTTAATACTATTTGGTTGTTAATCTCCTGTTACTCCAATTCTGAAAGGTGCCATTTCTGGAGTTGATATTCTGGTTTGTTTCTGTAGCATGGTAAGTGTGTTATATTTGCTGTACTTCCTCTGATCTGTACAACTGGAATGAAGAGACAATTAAAATATTGGTGTGTGCATGTTTGTGTGTAAGCAAAATGTTAGCCCTGTTACTTCCAGGATGCTAATTTTTCCCTCCTAATTTTTGTGGGTACCTAGAATTGAGTTTATTTGTAGATGATATCTAATACATGTTTACAGCTGGATTAACAAGAAACAGAAGGCTGGTCCTGCTCACTAGTGCTTCATTTACTTTGGTGATTTTTTTTCAGAAGATATCAGCACTTTTAATAAACTTGTGGATGTTTTTGGTGTCTTAACAAATAACCGCTATCTTGTGGTATAGTGCTAATGGCCAGCAAACGAGACGCAAAGTTTTTGACACAAAATCATTGTCATTGTCCTACAATGAGATCAGAGCTGTTCTCCTTCAGGGATGCATTTCTATTTTGAGAATTTACTGGGGGAATATGTGTTGTAAGCTGGATATAACAAATTGAATATTGCACAGAAAACTGCCCACGTTGGTTTAGTTGGTGTATTAGCATGAAAGGTGCACAAGCTTGCAGAAAAAAAAAGCATTGGGCTATACTACTATCAGGGGCTTGAATTTGTAAATGGTAATTGTCTCTGACTTCCAAGGAAGAAGGGAACCTGTCTAATGAAAACGCAAGAGAGAAGTCTCCTCCGTCGTGTTGCACCCTCGTTATTTAAGGTCTACATGTGTTACAGAGCAAAGGTGAGAACGACCCTGTTCCCCTTGGGTTTTGGAGAATGGTGTTTAGTGCTTTGTTTTTCTTAACAGTTCACAAGTAGAGCGAAGGATTAGGATGAAGACCTTGGAAGAGGCGGAGGAGGTATTTCCCTTGGAGAAATTTCATGTTTGCAGTCTGTGAATTGTTTTATTACAGAACTGTGAAGACAACAGATAATAATTTTTTTTTTTTATTCCAGTCCAGCAGCAGTGAGAGGTAGCTGTATTCAGGAAGACTGTAACACCTTCCTTTCATTTGGATGATTACAGGTTTTTACTTAGAAAATGTAGAAAAAAAAAAACAAAACAGGAAGCAAAACCACCCACTTTTGAGTGTATTTTGGCCCCTATCCCAAATCAGCAGTGTCGATAATGATGGAAAAACTTCCTTCTGTGTCATAGCAAGGCAGTGTTCTGTGTTTCAAGACGAAGAATCGATCAGCCATTGGTGTGGGTGCTCAGCTGGCTTTGAAACCAGCCAGGCTGTTGAAGGGATGTCCAAAAGGCGTGTTGGACAGCAGAGGTGAAACTGCAGCCCCTGTACTGAATCATGATGCCCTGTCTGAGGTTTTAGTTACTTATTTCTTATGCATTGAGCCGAGGAGACTGAAGACAAACTGGATTAATCTTCCAAGACAAGCTTTCGCGTGTATTTGCTAAATAACACAGGTGAGTTGAGGTTTACTTAATGTAATGAAAATTACACCTTTCAGTGGTATAAAACTGGCTTGTCTAGCGGAGTGGGTGTGTTTGCTGTTATACAAACAAACAAAAAAATGCTGCGTTTTATTTCATAGTAAAATCATGAAAAATTGGAGGATGTCTTGTTGCTTTGTATTGGTCTTATCTGGAAAAGAAGTTGGTGAGAAAAGATTGTGTGGAGGAGATGGAATCTTGAAAAACAGGGAAATTTCAAAGTATTTTATCTTCCAAGTGCTTTGTGACTAAGAGGATACATTAGATTTGTGTTGCTTAGGTATTAGATAGGAGTTGGAAAAAAAAAAGACATGAGGAATACCAAAACCACTTCGAGATGTCATTGTGACCCAGTTTGGGAATTGCTTCAAAGCTGTATATTTCAGCATGGATAGGGGAAATTTGAGTGGAAGGATCTCTCTAATTTATGGTGTTTGAACCACAAGGAGCTGCTTTGGATCAGGTTAGAGCTGCTGTTGTGCAAGTACTGGTCTAAGAAAAAAACAGGAAAAACCCTCAACTTAGAGCATAATTTCACTGCGTGGAGCA